TCACCTCCCTATGGACTCTCACCTCTATGGACAAAGGAATATTTGAGTAGGTGCTAAAAAACATCTGCTGAATGAATGGAATATTTATATAGACATTTAAAATATTTTTGAAAAAACTTTAAGAACACAGGGAAACTCTCAATACATAATCTTAGTGGGAAGAAGAAAAGTTATCAAATACTATAACACCAAGTTTGTTGGGGACAGTGGCAAATACACAGAAAAGAAAAAAATAACTACTGCTAGCATTTTAAAGTGTCAGGGTGGTATAAAGGGTAATTTTTGCTTGCTTCTTCAGTTTCCTCCATTTCACATTTTCTAAATTTTCTGCAAAGCATGACTTTGATCAGTAAAAGCTACTTTTAAAAAATGATCATCCTGGAAGAATGTGCAAAGATTCACATATGCATGTTGCTAAGACAGACTTACTGTCATGGAATGCCTTATTCAGGACACAATAGTCCTCTTCAAATATCTGTAAAAACCCTCAAAGAAACAAACACACACAAGCAAGCGATGTGGAGTGGACCTTTGGACTGGAGAGAGGCCTTAAAACCAATCAGACCCTTGCTTGACCTGTGCTACATCCTGAATCTCACCAAGATAGGGGAAAAAATGGAATACAGCATACTCTAGAAATCCTGTAATAAGCCCAAGATCCTGTATGATGTACAAAAAGGTTAACTCTTACAGTGAGCTATTAATCATGCAACAGTGCTCTAGGAGGTGCTGTCAGAGAGACAGACGAGAGAGACAGACGAGAGAGACAGACGAGAGGGAGAGAGAGAGAGAGACAGGAGAGAGAGAGGGAGAGAGAGAGAGAGAGAGAGAGAGAGAGAGAGAGAGAGAGAAGTTAACTCTTGAAAGTTGTTTTAGATACATTGTTAAGCCCTGGCTCTCAAGTCTCTTTGATACAATTTCTCTATCCTTCAATTCTTAGAGGTTCCTGGTTGCCAACCTTACATATGAAAAGATACACATTTATGCTTAATGAGCAACAACCACCACAAAAAACCCCTAGCCCTCTGAACTAGGCCATCTTTTCAGAGAGAAGAGGCTCAGTCCATAAACTACTTTGAAATGCTAGTCCCATCAGCAAATCCCAGCAAGAGCTGCAGTTAATATTAAGAGTAGAAACAGGTTTGTTCTTGAACATATTTTCTCTCAATCAAGTCCAAGATGCTTCCAGATGGAGATTTGCCGGTTTTCCTGCACTTAAAGATGATAGATCCAGTATAAAATAATGTGCTTTTTAAAAAATATCACTATTTGTCCAATCCTTAAAACAGGATTTCTATAGCCTTCACATATGACCCAATCTACTGCTGAATATCAGTATTTTTAATAGAACTCACTCTCACTCTACTGAGTGCCAGCTCTGTGTGTATATGTACTTATACATACGTGTACATGCACATACACAGAGAAAAAAAGCTAATATTCCTTATGACAGAGTATAAGACCCAGATCCAGGCCGGGCGCTGTGGCTCACGCCTGTAATCCTAGCTCTTGGGAGGCCGAGGTGGGCGGATTGCTCAAGGTCAGGAGTTCAAAACCAGCCTGAGCAAGAGCGAGACCCCGTCTCTACTATAAATAGAAAGAAATTAATTGGCCAACTGATATATATAAAAAAAAAAAATTAGCCGGGCATGGTGGCTCATGCCTGTAGTCCCAGCTACTCGGGAGGCTGAGGCAGCAGGATTGCTTGAGCCCAGGAGTTTGAGGTTGCTGTGAGCTAGGCCGAGGCCACGGCACTCACTCTAGCCTGGACAACAAAGCGAGACTCTGTCTCAAAAAAAAAAAAAAAAAAGACCCAGATCCTGGCAATCTAATATAACTCTCTGTTCTATTTACTCATGCAGTGTGCTAAAGAAAATCTGAGTCAAAGATCTGGGCGTGTGTCTTCAAATAAGGTGATTGATAAGCCTCAGCCAGTACTGCTCGAGGCAGTCTAGTGAGAGCCCATGGGTGACAGCTCTCATGAAGCTAATCTCAGATCTATACTAAGTACAAACTTTTACCACAAAGCTAACTAAAAAATATGGACTATGCCCGTAGGCTGTTTGATTTCTGTGGGAAAATGTAGACCGAATTTGTGACCCATGCTCTTCAACACAAACTCGGTGAACTCCTTTTATGCATTAGATACTTTGCCAGATACCTGTCCCTTAAGCTTGAGAGTGGGAATCAGAACATGGTATAGGTAGAAGGGACAAGAAGGGGCACAAGATAATCACAAACAATGCTACTGTTCCCAGTACCTAGAACAGTGACACATAGCAGGTACTCAGCAGATATCTACTGTATGAATTAGACAGACATTATACCTGCATTTTACCTTGCATTACAATTGTATGTGACAGTAGCAACATAATTAACAAGATATGAACTGAGGAAAGAGATGAATTCTGCCAGAGCAGGTAAGAGAAGACTTCCCAGAAGCAATGACATCATAGTGGCCCTTTCCTGAGGAGCAGTTTTTCACCAGGCAGTGGCTGCAGGAGGAGGAAGGCCATGTAGATAAAGAGTGTGCCCAAATCCAGTCTGGAGCAGATGGCCTGAACCACTTTCCAATTCAAATTCCTACACGGTTCTATTTCCTGGGCTTTGTTGTGCTGCATCATCTCCTTCAAACTTTCAACTATAAAAGGGTATATACAGAGAGAGGGTGGTTGTGCTCCTCTAGCAGGAAATTAGCTAAAAGCAAACAGCAGGTAACAGAAAAATGAATACTGTGGAATGTTTTATTTACCAGGCAGTAAGCCTGTAAGATTCTTAGACTTTCTGAGAGAGAAAAATAACCCGATAACAACCCCTAAGTCCACTAGAAACACATCACTTCAAAAAAAATTGATGCCCTTCATTTTTCTTCTTCTTTCCCCATGAACGGTTTTAAAATTGGTTCATGCAGAAACTACTTGATTCACAACAGAAAAAGAAAATATAAATATTTCTGTCACTTCTTACTCTAGTGTGAAACACTAGGGAGGAAATAAATGAAGGCATCTGAAAGAGAGCAGAAATTAAAATTCAGAACAAAGGTTTTTTTGTTTGGTTGGTTGGTTGAAGTTTTTTGAGACAGGGTCTCACTCTGCCTCAGCCTCCAGAGTGGCTGTGACTATAGGCATGCCCCACTAACTTCTGTATTTTCTGTAAAGAACAGCTCTCACTATGTTGCTCAGGCTGGTCTCAAACTCCTGGCCTGGAGCAATCCTCCTGTCTCCGCCTCCCAAAGTGCTGGGATTATAGCTGTTACCCATCATCACACACCCAACCATAGAAAAGTTAAAATGAAAAAAAATGAGAACAAGGGAAAATGGCAAGTGGAAAGTTTTCAGAACTCCTAAGAAAGTGCAGAAATAAGCTATTTCCCATCACATCCTCTTTAAAAATGGAAAGGACCATTCGCCCAGTCCGAGAATGGACAGCATGAAACCCTTCATGTTAGAAGGAAACAAATCATCAAGTCAGGGATAGGGAATTATGGGATGGGCTCCAACCCACCCTAGCCACATCTTCCCTCAATGTCTCCATCTCCCTACCTTGAAGCCGCCCAACCTAAACACAAAACCCTTAGGTTGAGAGCCAGCCTCCCCTCCTCTTGGGCTGCTTCCCCTCTCAAACTGCATTCCAAACACAGCATTCCAAGAATAAAATGCATTTGAATGTAGTATTCAAATCAAAATAGACCCACTTGAAGTAACAATACCCACAAGTGAAAATTAAGTGCAATCCGGTGCACAGAACTCTCCCTTCTGAGACATGGGGTGGGGGAAAGTGTTTGTGTTAATGCTTGCTTTTACAACCTGCTTAAGAGGTAATGAATAAAACTCTGCCTTTTAGATACTTTAACTCCTTACTCTCAAGCTTTCCTTTTGTTTTGAAGTACAGTTTTGTTTTAAAGTACAGTTCTCCACCCACCTCTTCAAACTAACCCGTGCTTCCGAAATGTAGATCCTTGGATAATTAGCCCAGGCTGGGCAATAGCCACCCTGCACACAGCGACCGTTTACAATACAAGTGCTCGCAAAGGAGTCGCTAATTAGGAGCACCTGCATCCCAGAAGGGTTATGCGCCTCGCGGCAGCACCACCGCTACCTCTCGCCTTTTAACGCCAATTCGTTTGACTGGTGAGAACGCGGAGTGGGAGGAGAGGGGGAAAGGGACGAACTGAACACTGTCAGACTAAGATCAGACGATCTATATCCCCAAGTTCACCACGCCAGGAAAGGGAGGCTGTTCTAGCCAAGAGAGGCAGCTCAAGAAGCCATTTGCAGTAAGGCAGGATTCAAATGTAATTTATCAGAAGGAGTCTCCTATTAGTCTCCTAAACGCCAGGCCCCGGCTTGGGGAGGAGGGGGAGTTGGTGGGGAGAGTTTACCTTAGAAGGCGACAGCGAACAGACAGGCCTTTCAAAGCCACCCAGGGCTCTCTCTGCCCAGAGGCCGGAGGCTGCGCGGAGGGGCAGGGGAGGCGCGCGGCTGCGAGCCCCGCAGCGCCACAGGTTCCCCGGCGCGCAGCCAGCCGGACTCCCACAGGTGGGCGGCGCTCCGCCTCGGGGGCTCGAGCCTGAGGGGGCGCGCGGCTCACCAGGGACTCGGGGCTGTGGGCCGGGACCAAGGGGCTGGGGGACGGGCTTTGCCTTTAGGAGGCAGCTTGAGAGGGAAGCTCGGGGGTTTTCGCTGCAAGGTTCTCGCTGTCAGCCGGGTGGTTGCGGGCTTTTCCCCAAGGCAGGAGGAGCCGGCTGGAAAGAGGAGCCACAGGCACCTCCAACCCTCCTCCCCGCGAGCCTCAGCCTCCTCCCCGGGCGCGGTTAAGCCGCGCGGCCGCGGGCCGCCGACTGCATGCGCCCCGGCACGTACGAGCCTGCACGACCACACGCGGGCGGGGGAAGGGCGCCGGGGATTGAGGAACGCGGCCCCTCTCCGGCCCTCTCGCTCCCCGGCCTAACCCGACCCCGCGTCGGCTCGCCCCCGCCCCTCGCCCCCGCAGCCCCTCACCGGTGTTGGCCTTGATGTTCTCCCGCAAGAAGTGGCCGCTGGAGAGATGCTGGAGGCCAAAGTTCTGGGCGATCCTCTGGCACACGGTGCCCTTGCCCGAGCCGGGCGGCCCGAGGATGACCGCGCGCAGGAGTTTGGAAGCCATTGCCTTCGCGAAGAGGGGGGCGGCCAAACGGGCGGCCCAGACAGCGCCCCGCAGGGAGCCCCGGAACTTTGTTTCTTGGCCCCTACCTCTGGCACCCTCAGCTCGCGCTGGGACTCGCCGGCCGCCCCTACAGGGGGAAGGAGAGACTTTTGAGACAACCCCTCCCCTCAGCCCTGCACTGGGACCGACTCAAAGGCGGGGTAAGGCGCCACGCTACACCTCCCCGCCCCCTCGCCCCCACGCGGAGATTCTGGAGCGCGCCAGAGCCCCCGCCCTGCGTGTCAGCCTCCAGGGAGGTCGGAGGTCGCCCTGGCCAGTCCCACCTCGGTCTTTTCCTCTGTCTCGCTCCTCACGCCGCGTTCCGAGAAGGGGGCCGGGCGGCCGGGCATCCCCAAGCCGGTCTCTGCCGAGCCAGGGAAGCTGGGATAAAGGGGTGACTCGAAGCGCGCCCCCGCCGTCCCACGCACTAGGCAGCTTAGGGGCTGAGCCCCCGTCTGGTCCCGGCACGTGGGCAACGTGTAGTCCGCGTCTCGGCCCCTCCCCGGCGGCTGTCACATCCCCCGGGGTCTCCGCGGCCGCCGCCGCCTCCCGCTGGCATTCGGAGGGGCCCACCTCCGCCCCGGGTAGCGGGTGCGCTCCCCAGCTGTGGGGCGCCGGGAGCCCGAGCCCCGCGCCTCTCCACCAAAGCAATCAAATAAACACACACCTCAGCTGGAGGCAGCGCTCCGAGAGGCTTCCAGCCCGGATCCCGCAGGGCGGCGCCGCCTCCGCCCGCCCAGCCTCCGAGCCCCGGCCGGACGCGCGGGACTCGCTCCTTACGTAAGCCGGGGAGACAGGCTCCGCGCGAGCCTCCGGCCGGCGCCCCCTCCCCGCCCCTCCGCACCCCGCCTTCCCGCCCACGTGCTCCCCGCGACCCGGTGGGGGCTGCGGGGGCGAGGGGAGGTGGAGACGACGCGAGGGAGAGAACCCCCTTTTTTGCGGTCGCCTAGGGACTCAGCCCACTGTGAAGGAAAAGGAAAAACACAACTTGTTGAGCGCCTACTATGCGTCAATTTCACAGCTAGGTGATTTTATTATGCAACAGCTTTCCAGGTATGGCACTTACAGATGAGGAGAGCAGGCTTGGGGCGCGACCGTTCGTTCATTCATTCATTCATTGATTCATTCATTAAAACAAATGTTTATGGCGCACCTACTATGTGCCAGACACACTGTTCTAGGGCCTTGGGATATAGCCATGAACAAGAGATCACAGGAAGTTACGCTCCAGCGGGGGTTTAGAATCCACGACTGACGCCAATGGTCCATATGCCCTGAGGAACACGGAAGGAGAGGATGTCATTCACCTGTGCTCAGGACCTTATAGGTAAATGATTCCAGGACTTACACGCCCATTATGTTGGTGCTGTACCCACAACTCACTAAGTCCTAATGGAGGCAGACTCTCTCCCCCTCCTCACCCTGCCCTGCATTTCCTAATCCCATATTCTGTTAAATCTTTGCCCACCTTACACACAGCCTTCAATTTCCCACCCCAACTAATGCGATGACCACCCATAAGACTCGGACTTTTGTGTCATTCCATTTTCTATACAGTTGCCAAAATATTGCCAAAGTAAAAATCAATCTCTTATTTCCTCGCCTCCGATATTATCTTCCCTTCAGAATAAAGTGAAAAAAATCTTTAGAAGGGGCGCACAGGTGCCTTCTACAAACCTTCACATTCTGCGCACCCCTCCTCTGCCTTATTTCCACCGGCCACCTGCCTGTGGAAATCCATTGCAGAGCTCTGAACGCCACCACCAGGGCGCAGAGAGACTGAGGAACGCCAATGGTGGGGACGGTGTGGAAAACAACCGCCTCTCAATTCCTGGCTGCTCTGTGTTGTGGGGCGGGGATCAGAGCCTGGCATAGCATCCTGCCACCCAGCCCCTCTCCGCCAACTCCTCCAGGCACAGAATTGACCAGACAACGCACCCAGGCCACAAACGCCACACCAGCATTTGTTCCATAGACTCATCTCCCTCTAAGCCATCTCAGAGTGCTGTGGACCTGAAAACTAGTCCCTTCAACCCTTCACTGGGAACAAAGAGAAGAGCGTCTGTGGGGGGAGGGGTGGCTTAAATCCTCTTCCTCTTGCCATATGCTGTATAATATTAATATATAGCAGACACTTTTTGGAGCCATTCTCAGACGTGAGCATGCATCAGAATCACCCAGAAGACTTGTTAAAACCTATTGCTTGGAATTGGATCAGGAAGTGGGGACAAAAAAAAAAAAAAAAGCATTGCTGAGCCCCAGAGTTTCTGATTCAGTGGTTAGAGGTGGGCATTTCTAACAAGTTCCTAGGTGATGCTAAGGCAGCTGGTCTGGATACTACACTTTGAAAACCACTGCTGTCGTGAACAGAGTATTGACACACTCGAGATGTGTGGCATTACTGTGCCCTCTCTATGACCTATGACCCTTAACCTCTTTTCTTTGTAAAAATTTTGTAAAATGAGGAGGTTGGATTTAATACATCCTGAAGCTCCCTTTGAATCTATTAAGAATTGATTCTGTAAGTTCCCACAGGACATATGGATGCTTTTAGCCTACACTAATTAGATGAACTGGGTAAGCCCTCCTTACCCTAGCACCCAGTTCTTTGGCCTACTTTTGAAATGTCTTTACAAACATCACCTTGTAGTACCATGGAGCAGTGCTGCCACTCACGTGATCCTAGGACTTTATGCTTTGGGTAGCTTAACTTATGAAACAGAAAGAGTTGTGACACAAGTAAACAGATTAGAGAAACTCAGCCAACATTGGAATCTAGCATTTCACAAAAGAGCCCTCAATGGACCATCCCTGGACACAGCCACCTCAAGGTCCCTCAGCTCAGCTGCTGACTTGCAAGTGCAGTAGAAAAGGAAGAAATGGGCTTTGGAGCCAAACATACATGGGACAACAGCAAACATTGACCAAAATTGCAACAGCATCATTCACTAAGCCTGCAAACCTCATTATCTCTGTGAACCTTAGTTTGCTTAAATGGAGATAATACCCAACCCAAAGGCTTGTGGCGAGGCTTAAACAAGATGTATATAAAGGACTTAGCACAGTGCTGGGCATATAATAAGTATTCATTCATAAATATCATCATCCCCATTATTAACCATAGGTCAATTATTTAGCCTCTTTGAGCCCAGTTTCTGAGTTATGAGGAACAAATGAGATAATAGGTACTCAGTAAATGATAGCAATTCTTATCCCATATATTCATGTAATTCTTCCTATTTGTCTAGGTTTTTTTTAACCCATTTATAATGTTTATCACAGTCTGTGAGTTATTATACAACTATTTATTATGTTTCTGTCTCCCCTACAACACTGTAAATGCCAAGCTTTCTGTACTCAAAAATATATGGCACTTTGCCTATAATAAATAACCTTTTAATGTTGACAAGTCTCCCTCCCCCTCATAACACACTCAACATCAAGCTGCATTGCCTTTCTGGGATGGTAGTACAAAGTCTATATTTGATGACACTTTTACACATTCCTTTGTCAGATTCTGACAAGCTTGCAAACAAAGAAGGGTAGAGCTTATCATTCCTTTTCACAGACAAGAAAACTAAGGTTCTGAGAGGTTAGGTGAACTGCCCAAGGTACCAGAGCTAGCTGGTGGTGCAGCAGGGAGTAAAACCCAGATTTTCTCATTTGGAGCACAGCGCTCTGTTTTCAGTCGTTTCCATACTACTTGCACAATTTTGTCATAACCTTGTACCACCTTGGCTCTTATCTGCTTATCATGTTTCTTTATATTGAGTCAATTTGTTTAAATAATTTATTTGAAAAAGAAACTATATATAACTCATTAACCATAAGTAAAAGGACACACTAAAATAAACAAGAAAAATCAAATAAGGGTCAGCTGGAATCTACTGCCTGTTGATATTCTGAGCTTAATCTTTGTCTTAAAAAAAATGAGACAAGGGGTGGGTTTTTTTTTTTTTTTTACAAAGTGTTAGATGTTTAAGACATGTAGCATGTAAATGAGACTTTATGCTTATCTGTAATCATATGGCTCAAAATAAAAATAAGATTAAAAAGGGAATATTTTCTTTTTTTTTTTTCTTTTGAGACAAGGTCTCTCTGTTTTTTTCTGGGCTAGAGTGTGGTAGCACCATCATAGCTTACTGCAACCCTCCAGCACCTGGGCCCAAGCAAGCCTCCTGCCTCAGCCTCCTGAGCAGTTGGTACTACAGACATGTACCATCATGCCCAGCTAATTTTTTTTATTTTTATTTTTGTAGAGATGGGGTCTCACCATGTTGCTCAGGCTGGTCTCAAACTCATGGCCTCAAGAGATCCTTTTGCCTCAACCTCCCAAAGTGCTAGGATTACAGGTGTGAGCCACTGTGCCAGGCTACCTTTGAAATTTAATTTACTATGACTCACTAGATTTTTTGAAATTGGGTAATCACTCAAACAACAGTCCATGGATATGACACTGACCCCACCTCTAAAAGCAAACCCCCATTGTTCCAGCTATCACACTTCTCCGTCATTGTCTTTCTATCATAATTTCATGTTTATTTCTGTTGTATTTGATGGAGACTGTAGGCTCCTTGAACAGAGTGGCCTCATCCTGTTCCTCATAGTCTCTACACAGCTTGGTAGGAAGTGCAGCATGTGGAGAACACTGAGCAAATATTGTAGAAAGAATGACTGACTGCTGAATGAATGAGTGGATAGAGATATTTCTTTCTTTGCCCACTGTGAAGCTTCTCTGGACAATTAAGAGAAAGGCTAGTGACTCAGGCCCAGATTCAGAAAAGAAAATTATGGGAAGAAGGGATAAGATATCTGTCCCAGTGTGCGCTGCGCCTTTCTCCCTGTAGGCTCTTAATAAATACTCAAGAAACCAAAAGGTTGTATTGAGAGAAGAATAAATGGTGGATAAAAGACTAACATGGTATTATTTGTGAACTTAGTATAGTCTTACACGTGAAAAAACCATCTGAGCCTCCAATTTTACCAGCCCACATAGTTGTTAACCCATAACATCTTAATAGTGATTAACAAGAGGCAGCAGCATTTATTTTACAAACCTGCTCTCACATCAGAACTCTCTCGGACCAAAAATAAACAAGTAAATAAATAAAGTTCCCAAGCAGTTAAAAAAAAGAAGGAACTGGGAGGAAAAAATCAACATACCTGGTATGACCCACTATTCTCCATGAGCAACAGACTGTAAATGATTCCTAGAATAACAGTATATGACAGAGGAAGATTTTGAAGGCCCACCCTTGGTCTTTTCACTTTGAAGCACTAGAAAGCAATTTTACAATCTGTTATGCTCTTCCCTCCAAACATAATCATAAAATGATAATGCCATGATGTTGTCTTACCCAGAGTTTTGTTCTGATGTGTACATCTGATAATGGGGATAGACAGGACTGTGTCATTCACATTTTTCACCCTATCTCCCCAACCACAATCAATAGCAGATTCCTTCTAGAACTTGCCTCAGGATTAGTAGACAGGCCTGGAGATCAGATGTGTTTGGGCGTGTCTTTCCTTTGTGCAAAGTTAACCGCTAGAGGAAGTGCAGCTTTCTTCCTGCTGCAGCTGGATGATGGGACTGGCACTGAATACTGAGCTTATTCTGCCCAAGTCTAGCTCATCAAGGCTGGGTGGGTAAAGGGGATCTC